GTCATTCTGAGGAATAAAGGTTTGTTCAACACAAGTTGGTTTTTAGCTATGTACCGTCTTTGTGCATGGGTATTGAAATATCTTCGACAGTTGCCCCAGCGTTACGAAGCACATCAGCTGTTGCCTTGACAACATCTACTACGTCATTCTCGCAACCTTCAAACCCTTCTTTAAGGAAACCAACCTTCATTCCAGCGATTCCAAGTGCCAACTGTACAAAGGAAAATATATTGACCAAATTCATTCAACATGGAGAAATAGGAATCAAAACCAGCCATAGTTTCTCCTGATGAACATTGTAAAATATTATGTCTAATGGATTATGGCGACGGCTTCGTGGATGGATGTTGACCCTTTGATACTTGTTGACTTCGAGATTGAATTCTGTCTGTCCCACATCATTTGAGACTGACTGCTCTTTTATGAATACTAGTATATACAACTATTTTGATGTTTTAAGTATTGGTAATCGATTTGAAATGATTTAATATGTGTTGTATATATGACTTCAGTATGAATGAAAATGTCCCTTGGTGTTTATGGTCTCGGATTGGAACTTGATGAAGAGAGACGGGGGGAATTAGACACTGTTTTTTTTCACAAAGAACTCGTACATCCTTCTAAGGAGGATGGTGTTCTGTAACCAATTTTGATGTTTTCCCATTAGCACATGCGCTTACATATTAATATGGATTCGACTCACTGTGTAGACTTACCAACTTGGAATATTCTGGAACTGTTCGGCCTGTTAATGACCTTGAATCAAATCCGTCATACCCAGCCAAGACATCTAGTAACAGGGCACAATCGTCTACTGTTCGAGCCATTGGCCCAAGGTGATCAAGGGTACAATCCAAGTAACATGAACCACTGTATGGTACAAGTCCATATGTAGGTTTGAGGCCGACAATTCCACACCAGCTTGCTGGTATTCTTATCGACCCTCCTGAGTCTCCACCCAATGCTAAATCTACTCGTCCATTGGCAACCTAGAAATAGTCAGCTTTTTCATTTTTTCATTATTGTGTTAAACATTTTTCCGAGTATTCTTTCCAAGTTTTATGTATTTTTAAATTTTCGATAATATTGCAAGTGGTGTATTTCTAGTTACCAAAGCTCCGGAACCTGAACTGGAACCTCCAGAGGATCTGGTAGGATCAGCCGGGTTGGTGACAGGTGGAGTAGACGTGAAACTATTGCCAGAAAAAGTCACATCCTCGCACTGACTTTTCCCCGTAATTCTGCCACCTAAGGACAAATGTGGTTTAAAGTTAGTTCAAGAACATATCATCTTCAAAAATGTTTCATGTATGTTTAATGAGTTTTAACTTAAGATTCATCATTTCTTCAACAACCTTTGAAGTCCATTGTTATTGTCTATTTGGTAAAAATCAAATTTGAAAACTATTCAATGCACCAGGCTTCTATAAATGCAAAGATTCCTGTCTAAAACGAACGAAAAATTGGAAATTATAACCCTTTTGAAATGCACCGTGAATCCAAAATGTTAAAGCAATAAAAGCCCAGCAAGACACCAAATCATAGCCTGGCGTCCCTCCCTTTATTTCATTCTAAAGTGGATATTTCTGTTTGATGCGTCAATTTCTCTGAAGACAAAACAGTTCACCGTCGTCCAATCCATTTGTTTCTTTTCCTATTAAAGCCTTTTTTATAATTTGCTAGATACATTTTATTTCCTAACTGTGACGCCGAATACCTGCAACACTAATATTTTGAAATTGAAAATATTGAAAAATTGTAGAAAAACTGTTTTAACCTGCATCTAGTACTCTAGTTACAACAGTTGCATCAAATTCAGGTACGAAGCCTTGGAATATTTTACCACCGTTTGACATTGGTACACCAGCAACTGCGATATTGTCCTTGACAGCAATTGTACGACCATACAGCTTTCCCTCCTTTGCGCCTTGTATATCAGTTCTCCATGCCCTATAAACACCAACTTATGTTCATTGTTTTTTAATTCTTTAAAAGCACAAGACATATCCAATTATTTTCATGGGGAACAACAAGATACGTATAAGATGGTAGAGATTAAAAGGTGGATTGGATCGAATGAATTTGATTCATGTAAAAGGTGGATTGGATTGGGAATCTTCAAAATAAGGAATTTCTAATTAACATTTTCTGTCGATTTCCCTCTAAGCAATTTCCCTCTACTGTACCACAGGTCCCTTTTGAGAAATCAAACAACAAAACAAAACAACAACAAAACATACATAATTACTTGATGTATATATCAGTATTCAACTGCTTTCCCTTGTAAATCGACTTTTTTATTTTGTAAAGCATAATAAACATAGATCTGTATCATTCAAATTGATGTGTTAATGTTCCCATCTACTCGATGTTCTGTTTATATTGAAAACACAGATAATGTGGCTCTTCAAAGCAGTCTGCCTTATGATTTATGAATGATATTACCCTGAAATGAATATTATAATCTGACAGAGGGAGATCAATAGAAAAAAGTCTCTAAGTAATTCTATATTTTGAAGATTCCCGATCCAGTCCACCTTTTACATGAATCCAATCCACTCGATCCAATCCACCTTTTAATCTTTACCTATAAGACTACCAATTTGAAAGACTACACACACACACACAAAGACTAAGCCATTGTAGACTACCCACACAATGAAAACTATCCATTTGTAACCTACCCATGCATGGAGACTACCCATTTGTAACCTACCCATGCACGGAGACTACCCATTTGTAGACCACCCACACATGGAGACGACCAACACATGAAGACGTATAATATCGGTTAACTTCAGATTTTTTGAAATTTGTGCAAGTGTGTTGTGTTTTTTTCCACCATTACATCTATTATCATTCTTGTACATGAGTTATTCTTTTGCTTGTAGCAAAGAAATTAACCAACTTTCTTCTTTACAAACTCCTTGAAATGTGGCTAAGAATGCAGATCTGCAAAGTGGCAGATCATGTGCATGTAACATGTATACACATGTAGTTCTATGTGCAAATAAATCATTAAAAAAACGTGAATCAAATATTTCAGATTAGACGGGGCGAACGTTGGACCCTAGCAAGATAAAATAGTAAGTAAGTAGGTACAAATATCAAAGCATTACGTTAACTATAAAGTAATTTAATTCGATGAAAACTAAAAAATATTGAAATCGACACTTCCCGACCGCCATCGTTGATGACACTGACCAGTGAGATACAATCACTTGTTGCAAAAACGTCAGGCTGCAGTTGAAGTTGCAACTACCAAATATTGCAAGGCGCGCAGTTTGTGATCGAAACAAACGGCTTGTAGACACACAGTTTGGGCACCGCGCCGTGATACATAAAAAGTAAAAACATCCATTTAGCCTGGGGGGCTGAGAAAATTCTTACCATGCATTGTTTGGATTATCATCCCTATGTGGAGGGTGACCAGGTGTTCTTGGGTATTTAACTTCAAGTGTTGGTTCCACAAGCTCGCTGACTCTCTGGTATGCCCTCTGAGCACCTTTCATATGTTCTAGAAAGACATCGTAGGTCAAAATAGCTGCATGTGAAAAACTCAGTTTCATCCAAAATACCGTTTGCATTTCGATTGTCACAAATACTCACCGCGGTGTTGCAATAATTCCTCATCTGTAAGCTGGAATCCCAGGTCTTTTGATATAGTCTTCAATTGATCCAATGTCGGTAAATTAATAGCTGGAGAAACATAGCTACCGGCATCCTCTTTATTTTCAGTCGACATGGTGGAATTAAGTTAAAGTAGGCGAGTAGTGCTTATAGAGAATACCGTTAAGGAGACACATCAAGGTCGGGAGCTACGTCATTATACACCGTTACTCATAAATATGGAATATTTTCCAATTCACCATTGATTGCAATGCTCTCTTAGATTTAATGAATGGATATTTTTAAAACGTTGTTTCATGGACTGGCCAGGAAGAATAAACTAAACACATTCAATTAACAACATTTTTCGTTTTCCAGGAATACATAACTCCTTCAGATTTAATATTAAATTTGTAGACATGTATGTTTATTTTGTATGATTGATGTTAATGTATAATTGTAAGTTAATTTTAAAAGAAAATAAATGTTATTTTATAAAAAATAACTCCTTCAGAATCCACAGAAAACTATCTTTTCAAAATCGACATGGGGCCTTTATTATTATCTGTTTGTGTTTAGTACATCTGATAACATTTATTTCTGTAAAATTCTAGTGAGGCAGTCATCTCATACATGGCTAAGCGCATGCGTAAAGTAAAAATCAGTCCAACGTTGTCACTGGCAACTTCAGCGAGTCTATAACGGTCTAGGTCCACTCTCCAAAGTCTTGGCTACTCGCAGGACAGTGGCGTCTTCATGACGTCGTCCCGTAATCAAGGCCCCAACTGGTAGACCCTCTGAGAAGCCGACATTCACCGAGATCGAGGGATGACCAGTGCAATTTGAAGCAACTGTGTTCCTTACCATACTGAATGCTTCTGTCAGCAACTCTAAAAAACATAGCACAAACACAAAGAATAGCAATTTCTATTTTTCCTGACCTTAAAGGCCCCATATAAAGTTTAAATCACTTTGGCTTATATTGTAGCCTTACCCAATGTTACAGTACGAAAATGTGATATGTGAAACTTTCAAAAAATTCAAAAAGTGTTTTTTAAGAACTTCTTGTTCGAAAAATCGTGAATTTATTTTAAACTAAATTTTAAAACCCAAAAAGTAGCCTGAGCGCAAAACCTAATTACTGTACTAACTAACGTAGTTAAACCTTGGACATAGTTAAACCTCACTCTCCAGGAAGTGACGTCAAACGAATCCCAAGGGTACCAAAAACAAATTATGTTACGCATATGATATGGATTAATACAATAAGTAACTAGCTGAAAATTTATTTTGTGAATCCTTTGACTCTACGCACCATTTACATCATCCAGGGATACTGCTGGTAGCTTCGGCGCTTTGTAATGGCAAGTTGGCATGATCAAAACATCAACCTTCTCCAAAGCTCTGTTATATTCATCCGTAAGAGCCTTGCAAAGATTTTGGGCTTTTCCATAAAACTTGCCATCGTAAAATCGCTTCGTGAATTCACCCCAAAGCGCATTTGCCTGCCGAGTTATTGGTAAGTCAAATGGCCTTGTTTTAATTGCTTTTCGGTAGTGGTCAGTGATTGAGTTGGGGTAAAAACTCTTTCCCATACTTCCTCCTAAAACAAGGGCGTCCTAATTATATTTCAATTCAGTCCAATTTATTCCATACGTTTTTATATAATATGCTATAAAATCATACCGCTAGACGCCCATGGGAATATACTGCGGTGTAACAGATATGTGGTGGATTCATTCCTATTGAAAGACTTCGCCAAATTGATACCATACTGCGTATGCTAATAAAAAGTCTATTTTGTAAAAGATATCATAGTGTAAAGTGTAATATTTTACCATAAAACGACTGGATATAAATCCCTTCAGTCAGAGCATGAAACAAAGGCATCGCTAAAACAGAAAAAAAATATTTCCTATTTTTCAAAATTGTTCGTGATTCCAGTGAACTACCAGAGGGTTCGACAGGTGGTTTAACAATGACTACTACTGAATCAACTATAAAATGAATGCAATTTTACTTGATCTTATACGGGTGTCTGCTGTTTTCATAAAATATACACTGTAGCGTTTGGCAGAGAGAATAACATTTACTAAAAGATCGATTTAAAATTAATAATACTGGCGTAAACGCGTGGTAAAGAGGAATACATTTTGGTTGCCAAATTTTTAGAGGGGAGAGTACACAGCACGGTTCCTCTTAACTACTGTTTTGACTGATAACAGAAGTGTCACACATTCACTCTTGACACAACAAAAATATAAGATGTTTGACAAAAAAGTATGTTTGTTGCAATTGGGAAACACGAGTAGATCTTTACCGTCTTTGTGCATCGGTAGGGAGATATCTTCAACAGTTGCACCAGCGTTGCGGAGCATATCAGCTGTTGTCTTGACAACCTGTTCTACGTCAGACTCGCAACCTTCAAACCCTTCTTTGAGAAAGCCAACCTTTAAACCGGCAACACCCTTCGTCACCTGTGCAAGAAAAGGGGGTAAGATTGGTTAGGAATAGCAAAATAAAACGTTCAGGCTCCAATCAGTGAACTGACACAATCAATTCCTTTTTTACTGTTGGATTTCATTTTATTTACAGTTGTAACAAAGAAGGGTGCATTTTTCTATAGATTTTTAAGGAATTGACACTTGGCAAGCTATCCGAAACCAGTGTGGGACAAAAAACGATTGGCTGGCACATGCAGTGTACTAAAGCTGAACCAATTACACACTATTCACTCATTCAATAGTTGAATAGTAGTAAACACAAAAAGAAATCAAATTTTAGACTGTTCCTGACCTGTTACATGCAGTGCACTGAAGCTGAACTAATTACACCCACTAACTTCTCAACACACCTTATATTCATTACAAAAAATGGATCATGGGCCATTTACCTTTCATAAGAGTCAGTCGCACTGGGTCTTAGAAGAACTAGTAGCCTCGGGCAAAACCCCTCGGCTAATAAACCACCTAAATCCCAGTACTCATCGTTTATCCATAACAGAAAATTTAGGAAGATATTGGCCAGCATTCTATGCCCATCCATCATGTAAATGGTTACTTTTCTTTGAGATAGATGTCTCTGTGAGAAAATTAACTTACGATTGAACTTTTTGCAAGCTGCTTTACTCACAAGCCTCGAATATTCTTGAACTGGTCGATCTGATAGCGTCGTTGAATCAAACCCATCATACCCGACCAACACCTCTAGTAACAGGGCACAATCGTCCACCGTGCGAGCCATTGGCCCAATGTGATCGAGTGTAGGATCCAAGAAGCATGCACCGCTGCATGGTACAAGTCCATAGGTAGGTTTGAAACCGACAATACCACACCAGCTCGCTGGTACTCTAATCGACCCTGCTGTGTCAGCACCTACTGCTAGATCTACTTGCCCATTGGCAAGCTGAAAATATTAACGTTAAGGTTCAGCTGGAAAGTAACATTTTGGTAAAAAATTGCTATCCTGCACATGTTATTTTCTGGTACAAAATTAAATATGAAGGCATGTGTGTATTTCCTTGCTTTTTTCAGGAAAGTATCATTACACTGTCTACTTTTAGTAAACCTGGAAACAGGTCAATGGAAGCTCTTGTGTTGTCTGGAAACTTTGAAAGAAAATTTGGAAAATATGAAAGTGTGAAATATCAGAATTTCCTGGAGTTCCCATTGAACTCCTACTAGATATTCTTAAAGAAGACAATGTAATGATACTTTCCTGAAAAAAGCAAGGCAATTGACACTTGTCTTCATACATTATTTTGTACCAGAAAATAACATGTGCTGGTATAGCAATTTTTTACCAAAATGTTACTTTCCAGCTGTACCTTAACATAAAAGTATGTCAATGAAAATAAAAAAAGTATGACTGAAGTAGAATCATCTATTAGCTGTTCGAACATTATTTTTGAAAACAAAATAAACTCTTTTCCAGGTCCATTTGTAATTGTCATTATATATTGTGAATAGAAATATATTCAACTCACCAAGGCTCCTGAACCTGAACAAGAACCTCCAGAGGATCGTGTAGGATCAGCCGGGTTGGTGACAGGAAAAGGAGAAGTGAAACTATTGGCAGAAAATGTCATATCCTCGCACTGACTCTTGCCTGTAATTCTACCACCTTGTATAAAATTGAGAACGCACATGTGTGGATGTTTTAAAATATCAACTTTTATTAACATGCTTTATAAAGCAGAGGAACTGGTTGTAGATCATTGGGAGGATACCACAACATAAGGATATTGCAATTTGATCCATCTTCGTTCATTCGGCCCCTGTAGGTCGGAGCACAGTGAAAAAATGGACGACTGAGTGTGAGATGTACTTTAATAGTGAAATGTATGTGACTGTGGCCTTAGTTGACAAACTGAGCGCAAACGGAAAGTTATTTTTCAGTTCACGTTACAAGTAAACTTTTAGACTAAACTACATTCTATGTGGAGAGCCAATTTATTTCACCAGTTCATACACCCATGTCCACATTAAAATGAGGGCAACACGATCATGTTTTTGTAAATTTTGTATCGCTCTCGTTAGATTTTCGTCAGGATGCAAAACTATAAAAATCTGCAAATTGACTTGATTCTACACATTGAAATGCTACACGTCTGTTGCTATACTGGTGAATATTTGATTTCAAGGTTTAGGGTTAAAAAGTAAAATTTGTGTTAACCTGCATCCAGCACTCTAGTGACACAAGTTGCGTCAAATTCAGGAACATAGCCTTGGAATATTTTACCACCGTTTGACATAGGGACTCCTGCCACTGCGATGCTGTCCTTTATGGCAACCGTACGACCGTACAACTTGCCCTCCTTTGCGCCTTGTATATCAGTTCTCCACGCCCTACAAACACCAAATTATATCAATCATCAATTGCGAATCGTTTCATAACAAAAGACATACGAGGGTTGCTCAATGAATACTTATAAAAACACCCTTCAAATAATCCGAAAGTCCCCTTTCGGATCATCCTGGTTATGTTTTGATTCTAACAGATTTTTTTATTTTGATACTCGGAGTTATTTCATTCGTTCACAAAAGTAAACAGACAACTGATTGTCAATATTGTATACGAAACATTAGCGGCAGTTTTAATCAATACGGTATGTAAATTCAAATTCCTTGTTACCGTTACCGAGCGTTATATCGTATATACTACTTTCGGAGTTTATGTAGGTGAAACATTTACATATAAAATATCTAGAAACTAGACCAGATCTTTCTGAAAAGCTCTTAGTTTCATCACTCTCGTGTTGTACCTTACCCCGCGCGTTCAACTGTTACGCGTAGTTTCAGTGGCGGATCCAGAAGCTATAACAAGGGGGGTCAGTACAAAAATGTTGGGCCTTTAAAACCCAAAATTGGCCCCAAATTTTGAAAATTTAGGGTCTATTAAAAAGGCCATGTTTTGAGGCCCTACAAAATTTCTGGTGATACGGGATTTTCATTCCTAAAATATAACACCATTAAATCAACAATACACTTGTAGATTATTCTACTGTTGATTACATTCAAATGACTGAGTATGCAAATGTGTCTAACAGGTGTACATGTAATTGTTCACACCAGTGACGAATTAAAATACAATAAAACCTGTCCCAATCCGAACTCCACTGGCACCGGCCATAAGTGTTAAGAAGAGCATGTCTTCGTTCTCGTAATATGTGAAAAAATAATAGGGGACTACAAGAGTGTCTACAAGACGGCGTTTGGATAAGAAAAGTGTTTGGACATACAGGTTTTACTGTATCATTTGTTGATGTTTATTCACCCCAAATTCAGGCCCGGATAATATGTTACTGCCATCTTTCAATGGATACTCATATTAATCTCGCATTGAAAAAAACGTTATCTTACCACGCAACTGGGTTCTCAAAAATCTTACCATGCATTGTTCGGATTATCATTCTTATCATTTTTAGGGCGATGGCCGGGTGTTCTTGGGTATTTAACTTCAAGTGTTGGTTCCACAAGCTCACTGACTCTCTGGTATGCCTTCTGAGCACCTTTCATATGTTCTAGAAATATTTTGTAAACTTTAACATTGACGTGAATTTTTGCATGTGAAAAAATTTATAACGACATGAAAAGGACGTCCTCTTTATAACATGGAGCTGTCAAATTATCGGGATTTTACGATACACAGTTGACAAAACAAATACTTTTAGGCTACAGCAAGATATCCCCGATCACACCAAATACAAAAAAAATAATTAATTTATTAATCAATTGAAACATTAATCACACGGCTAATGTGACAGCCACTTTACCGCCCGAGCTTTACCTCCGGGAATTACCCCATGCAAATTACGTCAAAACGTGACTCTTGCAAGGTAGCACAACATTTGCTCCAAGCAAAAAACGTTGTGAGATAGAGCTTACCTTTGTATTGCAGCAGCTTCTCATCTGTAAGCTGAAATCCCAGGTCTTTAGATATAGTCTTTAGCTGATCCAGCGTCGGTAGATTAATAGCTGGAGAAACATAAATACCGGCATCCTTTTTATTTCAGTCGACATTGTGGAATACAGTTAAGTTGTGTTTACTTCAAGAGAACACAAGGTCGAATGCATAACATTGCTACGTGCTCCATGTCTCTTTGACATCCAGTTTAATTACAATAGTATGCTTTATGTCTACTATTTAACTTTTTCTGATAAAGGTAATTTTTGGGATTTACCATGGGCATTCAATAGAGTCACGTTTAGCTCATAGTATAGTCTTAGGCGCATATCTTAATATCTTGTTAAAAGAGCGGAAGCTCCTGACTGGAAATTCTTTCAAAATCATGCACTTTTTCGAATTCACCATTCTGACTCTGAGAACTTTTAGCAATATTTGTGAGCTCCACTTGGCAAACGTTCCCCCTCTTCAAGTAAATCAGAGACATGATATAAAAACTTGTCTCTGGGTAAACTGAGCTGGCAGGTAGGGGCAAGTATTAGACAACTCCCTCAGGAAAAATCTATCCAACTCACAGCAAGTTGTATAAACCAAGGACGTCCTTGTATAAACGGATGTTAAAAAATATGATACTTCGGGTGTCCACAGTTTGACCACAGATATTTTTCAATACTGTATTGATAACAGGTGTAACTTTGTTCAAACTTACATTGCATTCAGTCATCAATTGCATAGCTGTTTGCCTAATTTCATTTATATATTTCCCCCCTTCAAACGTTTTCACGGTATCTGAATCTGCCAACATATCTACTAAAAGTTCTCTCTCTGTTTTTAATAAATCATTCTCCTTCTTAAGGGACATGTTTGTTACCTTCTGCCTATTTAGTTTTGTTTCATTCCTACGTTTGATTTGTGCTAATCTACGTTTTAATCGCTTTCTTTGCGTTTTCATGGCTTTGACTTCATCATTGCATCCAACAGTGAATAATTCTCTAGAGGTCACATTATTTTCTAATTCAACAATTCTTTTTTGATTCTCTTCAATTTTTGCATCCCTTCGTTTGATTTTTTTATTCATGTTTCTTCTAACACTTTGACAATTACATTTTTTTGCGGAAATTGTCATTGCTTTTAATTTACTTTCAATGTCAACTAAAGTATTAGTTTGTCTATCAAGTTTTGCCTTTAGCTTTGTGTTGTCATATATTTGAGACGAGACGGTTTCTTGAAGTTCAGCATTTTGGGAAAGAACCTCTGTATTTTCATCAATCAATTCATTTAGTTAACGTTTCAGAAGGATTGGGTTTTCTGGCTTTGGCTTTACTTCAAATGGAGAGTCAAGAAATGATTCCACGTTCTTAATGTTTTTAGTTTTCATCATCTTTTTTCTTTGAACACTGATGCTATTGCATTTGTTATATAATGATTTTTTTGATATTTGTTCATCTATTGAGTTTGGAAATTTTTCATTTATTTCATTGAACAATTTTTCAGAAATGTTTTCAGATGTTGTTATGATTTTTAATTGATCATAGATATGACAAATGTCCCTAACAGTTGCAGTCATCTAAAGGGAGAAGTTTTACATTTCTTACTAGACTAATACAGCAAGGATGTTTATTTTAATGGAAATTATTTTTCTATTTTAACCTTAAAATTGTATAATATCTTACTTAACATTTTGCTTAGATATTTATTTGTTATTTCTAGTCTGTTTCAAAGCTATAATACAGATAAGTCTTCTTACCTTGAACTACAAAATGGCCAACGGAGAAAAACAGCAAAAACAGCAAGAAATCCTGAAAGGAAAATAATTCATAGAATTACAAATACTGGAATGCTCAACATCTTAAATTCAACCAGAATAAAACAAAGTTGGACTTTAACTTTAACTTTCAAAAAATCAATAAATGAACATACATGTATTCTAAATTAACTCAAACCATTATGCTAATACACTCACTTGTATTTCTCAAAAACATTTGCTTCACACCGGAATAGCCTGACAATGGTAAAGTCAGATATCTGACTTTACAGTTTTCCGGCTATTACGGTGTGTGCTTGGATGCTAGTTATTAAAATATAAAATACAAAAATACTTAATATGGTAGGAATCAAAATAACTTTAAAATGGTGTACTATTCTTTCATGCATTATTCATTTCATTTTATTTCTTCATTAGCTGGTTCAATTACATCTAAATTAGCAGCAAGTGAAACCATGAAATCTGAAGAAATTAACATTACGATCTGATTCTGGAATGAAGTTAATACAGCAAAGTAAATGAAACACATGACAACACTTGGGACAAATTATAAACTCTCTACCCTGGACATGAAAATAGAAACAAGTTTGACTTTCTGAAATTAAATTGCAAAGACTTGATAAGATTTGGTCACTTTCGGAAATTCTGCATGTGAAACAATTATATGTATTATAAAATGTGGAGATATTGTCCATTGATTCGCTATCGCTATCTTCCAGTCCAAATTGGCGTGGACTTAAAAAATCAGGATGATCCATAGTAGCGTAGAAACTTACTCAAACAAATCAGGAGACGAAACTCTTTAACAGGAACAGTCACTCACTGAAACACAAGATCACAAAAAGTATAAGATGTAAAACATGGAAAATACATATAGGCTATAATTTAAGTTGATTTGATGTGTTCATATTTGTTGATTGTACTGCACATTTTAGTAAAGTTAATTGACAGTACAGTAGTAACTACAGTTAGATATAATGCAAGATTGTGTTATATGCAGTGGTAAAATTAATGTTTTGCATCATGGAATTTTTGTCTGAATTAATAAACATTTAATAGAATGGGATTATTCCACTTAATTTCAAAATACCTATAGACACAGTTTAAACAGTTTTTAACCAACATGACCAGTCAGCATTTTAGGAATTTTCAATCCCAAAATGATGATTTTTCACCTTCTAGTAAAATATAACTTTTTCATAAAATCAACAATTTACTACATTTACATAATAATTAGAATCTATATAAATAAACACAACAGTCAACAAGTTCAGCTTCTATATGGTAAGTAATTACATTGTAACGTAGTATACTCACAAAAGGACAACAGGGTCAAAACAGGAACAGAACCAGAACAGAACAGGAACACCAAAACAGCAGATACAGGAACTTACTGAAATAAGAATTCAGCAAGATGTATTTGAATTAAAATGCTAACAATTATGGAGATAAATGGATAATGGAGAATAATTGGCAAAGGATATGATTCAGTACAATGTGATCTATCATGTCTATATTTCACTTGCAAAGATATGATTGATTGCCACACCACAACAATGAATTTTCTGTTTATACAACTATACTTGTCAACCACAATATGTTGTAACAGTGTAATGTGAGACCAAATAATGAAATGACATGAGCTACTGCAAATGTTTGGGTTATATAATATGCTACATGTTCCATGTATAATAAAAGTTAGCCATTTTATTGGTGTTACCATACACTAGTTGATCCTAATAATAAGGTAAATGTACTCACAAGTGGATGGAATCAATGGAGGTTGTTGATAATCAAATTATAAGGAATCAATCTGAAATAACAAGATGAAACATTTTATCTCCCCGGGAATTTAAATATACACTGAACGAAAAGACTTTGATATTTCGTGGATAGAGCCTCATCTGATGATGTATACTCGTTTTTTGCTTTTTATAATGGGAATGAATTAACATACATACGTAGATTTAGCATATTTGGTTCAAAACAACCGTCAACTATTGCATTAAATAGAAACGAATTTTAAATTTCGCGGGCTTTTCTACCCGGAAAATATTTCTCGAACTAAATCACATTTCTAAAGAAAAATAGATCGAACATTCAATAAATATATGACTTTTCTATTCATCTGGATATGGCACAAATATAGAAATACAGAATTAATAAATTAGAACATAAATAGACGCTGAAATTACCTGATAAACGAGGTGGTCCAAAAATGTAGGTCAAAATAATTTCTAATATGGCCGCCAACGGACAATTCCTTCAGAAAAATGTCCATAGCTGAAAGGGGTAAAAATCGCTTTCTGGAATTATAATAAATCGCATTCATTCTAATAATTTATGATAAAGTGACACTTGAGCTTTCTTATACTCAAAAGGCAGCGTTCGTAAGCTAATGATAACCGAGAAATCTAGGGTTGAAGTGAAATGATGACGTCATTTTCAGTTCAATCTATGATTTCGATGCTTTATACGGATTGTAGACTCTTGCCTTTTAGATAGAATATAATTTAGGTCATACTTTATCATATTAATCACAATTATTGAATAATAAGACATACTTTATTTAGCGACTTTCGTCCTTATAGAGGTGTACAAATCCATAAAGTTTGTGCCATTTCGAAATTGCCCGGATGTTGAAAACTTCTCACGGATCGAGCCATAAATGACGAAAAACACAACAGACAGCGGTAAATACTTGTAAATAAACTTTTATTAATACAACAATCCAATACAAGTTATGATTATACTACTTCCAGTTCAATATTATGGTATTCTGGTTGCTTAAAATTTAGTACACGGGGA